TAATGCAGATAAGCTAATGTTAATTTAAAATAGGCAGTGCTTGTCTCTTGTTCCAGCAAAGCTGCTTTGATTCAGATAAAATCTGAAGACTCAGGAAATGACAAGAGAATATTTGCTGAGCTAACTTCTACATGGACTCCAATCCATCACACAAAATTTGTTGTGGAACAGAAACAGAAGTAACTTACAGATATCTGGGCTCGCCCTCCTGGCCGCATCCTGACAGACACCCATAATCCTTCACAAGGGCAGTCGTGTTTAAAACAAAGAAATAAGAATTCTCTTACCCTCAGATCCGAATGTCAGTTGCTCACATATGCACATTCCTGTTTCATGTGGTCCATCCCTGGAGATATCAATGGACACTGGATATTGTGGACAAAAAATTGGCAGTGTAGATGAACCTGTCATAACCAGCATGCTCTGTACATGATGAATTTGTAAAATGGCACATGTTGCATCAATATTTATGTTTGATCCATTGAGACAGCTAGTTAGTTTAGCATATGGGAAGCATTACAGTTTTGTGAGCCTACAATGTCATTTCTTACACAGGGTGGGTGTATGTAACAAAAATAATTCTGTTCATGTAGCAAAACATGCTTACGCAGGCTGTATCAATTGAGCTTTTGCACAGCCATTGAAAAGACAAATAAAAATGTAATTAAAAAATATCCAAGCAATACAGAAAATAGTTCACACACAAGAATTCAAATGATATGTATTCAGAAGAGGAGTTTTCCTATGCTGGAGCCAGCAATGACTGAAGCTGGAAATACCACCCAACAAACAGTATTTTCAGATGTTTAATTACAAAAATGAGAAGAAGGGAGAGGGAGAGAAGGAAGGGTGGACTGAGATATCAGCTCAGAGAGAATGAATTTCAAGGATTTGGCTCAGCAAATGTGCAGTTACCTGCCAATTTAAAGATCAATGGGTAGTTCCAAAGCATGGTGTCAGAGTAGGAGACTGCCTGGATTGAAGATTGTTAAGAAACCTGCGGATATAGTTATGACTGTCCATGCTGAGGACTTGAAGCCCCAAAAGACTATCATTAAGTTTCTTGCCAGCACTCTCATGTTTTAATATGGGCAAGGGACTGGCTTTAGTTAAAATCCCCTTCCTCTTTGTCCGATTGATGCTGTTAATAGCAGTACAGCAGCACTACAGGCTTACAACAGCTAGTGCAGGCAGGAGCTGGAACTCCTCGGTGATGACAACATCAGTCCCTTTGCCAAAGTTAGAGATATCACTGTCCAAGTCCATGTTGGATGATACAGGGAAACTCCAAGAGTTCAAGAAGAGGACTGATAGTGGTGGATGCTTCCACGGACTAAGCAGGTGGTGGTTACACCAGGCTGGCTTTTTACTTTATATTCTTCCTTCTGAATAGAGACGAGCACCAAGTGCCCTGCTCACTCCTTAATGGATCCTCTTGATAGAAATACAAAACAGCTTCCCTTCTCACCAGTCCATTCGAGACTGATGGAACTGAAAGTATCCCGATAGTGCTGGATGGACTGTTCCGTGGACTCAGTCTGCTCACCTGCAGGGTAACTCTTGGGTCACAAAACACACAGGATGTTATTACAAGGTCTTTTTTCCATCAGAATGTAAAGCTTCCGCTTTCTGTCTTTCTGCTTCTTAATTTGAAAAAATCACCTTACCTTGGTTTGTATGCTGAACTGTACGGGAAGCAGCACAAAACAAGTTAGAGGTGGTAGAGATCAAATAACTCCCTTGAGCTTCTTGAGTTTTAGGGGATTGTTTCTGCACTATGATAACTTGACTTTTGAACAGTGAAACTTGGGATTTTCCCTTCGCATACAGTTAATTAAACCCTCACTTTTTTGAAAGCTTTCTGCGAGTCGAGGGCAGTTCTGTCTATTTTAACAATTGACAATAGCACACAACGTAATCTCAGTGAGAAGCTGATGATGTACAGACTCAATAGATCTTCCCCCCCCCCCCAGTCTGGTGGGGCTCAGGCATAAGCCTCCAGCCCCCAGTGCTGGAATCTCCAGGACTTTCTCACCTTGGAGGAAGCTGGACATGTCTCTCAAACAACAGTCCAAGGACGGCTCACAGATACTTTCCTCCCAGGAAGAGTGATGCTTGCTGTGTTTTACTTCCTCACCCTTCCAGTCCTGTCTCTTCTCCTTTGCCACTCGTTTTAAGAGTTGCAGTATTTTCAGAGTGGAGAGTTTTCAAAGGATGCAAGTGACCCAGATGATCGCTGTAATGTATTACTAAATGCCTTTACAGCTTTTGGAATCTATTGTCAAATTTTACCAAAAGCTGTTTCATTATATACTGTTATTAAATATACTTTTACTTTGGAAATGATTGGAAGGCTGGAGGAGGAGGAAATGGGCTCTAATGTAGACAAGAGTAAAGTGCTTCTGAGGTATTTTTCCCCCGCAAAAGAGCAATAACACACCAATTTTCATCTTGAAGCCAAGATAGAAAACTGGTTTGTTCTCTTTAAAGATTTCCCTTTGTAAAAAGCCATTTCCTGGCCCGAATCTGATGGGGGCTTTAATCCTCAAGCCCTGGCTTGAAGACAAAGTCTGCCCTGTGGATGGGTGGGGTGGTGCTGTTGAAGGGAAGGCTGCAGGGGCCATTCCCATTTTCTCCATTCGCAGGGAATTAGGGTGAAGATGAAAGATGAAAAACAGCAAAGGTTTTGGGAGGTATATTTGTGGATTCAGTGGGTGCCCTTTCCATGTCTTCAGAGAGGGTCTCTCAAGTCACAGTGCATTGGTGACCTGGTAAATGTGGGATGAAATGGCTCGTCTTGAAGCCCAGTGTCAGAAGAGGGAGGACTAACTCTTTCAGAGGCTTTTCAAGCTTGCACTGGTTCACATTATCTGGGAAACTGCAGCGTAAATGCAAAGCATGTGATTACTAACTCCCCAACTTACTTTGCCTGCCTCCGTTATAGTCCTACAGACTCCTCACGTAGTTCTGGGAATAAGTGTGGTTCAACACTCATTATGTTCCCTTTATTCATTTGTGTGCTCACATAGCGCTAATAACAATGCCGTACAATAAAAGATAGCACGAGAATCTGAAATTAAATGCAGCCTTCCCAGAGTCTCAGCAGGGTGGCAGACAGGCATATATTTCCAGCTGCCTTTCAGCAACCCCATTAATAAATCGTATTTATTTTCCTGGAAGGAGAACTGCTGGGACATCCTTCTGTTTGGGGGGCAGAATCACACTCAATACCCCAAAATTATTTGTTGGACATGGGTGTGAAGTTTAGACTTGAGAATTGTAACTGCCAGAAACTCCGTGCTCTTCTTCCTACCTTCCTTTTACTCCCATTTATACATTTTTTTTTCTATAGTTCTTGTCCACCAACTTACATGCTCTTCTAGTTAACGAGCAGCATTTCCCGTGTATGTCTTTAGGATGATCATCCTTTCTCAGCATGTGTCTGTCTCTAACAATTTACCCAGACAAACCCTGCATCAGCACACGTCTGAACGCTGGCAGTCTTTCATCCCTGTAATACATCTGGACTTAGACAGCGGCCAGTGTCTTCTGAAGCAAGGGGAACGTTTGAGTTCAGGTCCAAATTACATTGCTTACACGCAGACAGTCTCAGATAAACAGCCCGATTTCTCTTAGTATTTCCCTGCTTAGCCTATTTTTCAAAATGTTTGTTGTTTTGATTGTTCCCTAAGATATCTCTCCAACTTTCCTCTGGCTTTATTATAAGAAGGCAGGGAAGGGAGAGACCCAACAGCCTTATTCAAATAAGTATTATTAGTGACAGTCCTGCTAACTCATTTGCCAAGAAACTGTTTATCTGCAGAGAATAAATCTTCAACTTATTTTTAACAGTAGAATCTCTGCTAATAACCTGCATAATGACAACTCTGATTTCAGTAGAAATTCATGTTTCAAGAATGAATTGCTGATTATTTTGAGAGTCTTACATGGACAGAAAACAATTTACATAGACTAATGACAATAAGTCTTATCAACCTCAAGATCTACAAATGTGTGATGGTCACCGTCATAACCTGGAAACGATTTGTGAGTAAGGAAGATTACTACGACAATCGCTTTAGCTACAGGGAGAACACTGTGACTGTTCTAGTAATACCTGTCTGTGGAAGCAAAGCTACAGATTTTTATTGGAAAAAGTTTAGGTAGGTATAGAAAATTATGAAAATATAATTTTAAATGAAGCTTTAGGTGAAATAATTAGATTGGTTTTTTTTCTTTTACAATCAAATGTCTAAGCTTAATACAGTGCAGTCATCTGGAAAATTTTGTAATTGTGTAAGCAATCTTATGATACAGATTGGCCAAATATGAACCTGACCTGCTTCCATTGAAGTACCTTTGCATTACAGGTATCTTTAGCCATCTGATTAATGAGGTCTTTTTTCAGGTATTCCAAAAGTGTAACCAGAATTGAATGTTATCCTCCCTGTTAAGATTCTGATCCGAAGCAGAGCTCATTCAGTGAGCAGCACACTGGAACTTGCAACAGCACTCTGAATTTTTGTGTAGTGAAGGGCTATGACCAGGATTCTGGTTACTCTGGTTAATTTTCATTTAAGGAAATCACATTTTTCTCTTTTCTAAACTAAGCATCACAGTAGTGGTCTGTTTCTCTGGGATGTCTTTGAGCTTCTTAGGTGGAAATTGCTATAAAAACATGAAACATTGCTTTAATGTGTTGCATATGAAGGAAGTTAGAGTGGGTTAGTATGAAATCTATTGTGATATCTGGAATAATTAGTGTTTGTGAAACTCACTTCAGTTCAATCTTCTGAATTAAGTTGATACTCTCAGTGTTAGAGAAGGGAGTTGCTGAATAACCAACTCGACACCATTCCAAATGAGTGCTCCCCTGATTCACAGTGTTCTCTTCTCGTTCAGGTTTTCTGTCAGATGTCTCTCTTAGTCTTGACTTCAATGTTTAGAGATACTTTAACCTTGCAAACAAAATAATGGGGACCTCTGGTTGTTGTCATTAGAAAATTGGCTGCGATGGAATCATTGGCTCAGCTGCCAAAGAGGATCGCTGTGGAATCTGCAGTGGTGATGGCAAAACCTGTAAAGTGGTGAAAGGCGACTTCAACCACACCAAGGGGATGGGTGAGTAACCCTCAGCAGCATTGTAGCGGAGTGGAGGTTCTCTGAACTGCTTGAGGAGAATTAAAGACTGGTAGTAATAGCTCTTCTTCTTGAATAGCATTGGACTCATCTGCTCTAGTAAACACGTACGAAACACAAAACAAAACTCAACTCGATTCAAATGTGACATTCTCTCTGCTTCTTATTCAGTTGCCCTGATACCAGCTGTTGCCTCTGTCTGAAATGCAGAATGAAGTTGTGTTTCATTTTCAATGCTACCAGTGCTGTTCATTTTAAATAAGACACAAAATCACAGTATCTTTTCCAGAGGGAGGGAAGTCTGATTTCAGCACCATCTTTGAGCTCTTTCAGAGCTTGGACTGTTGCATGTTGCATGTTGCAGATGATTCATGTTATAATCAGGATAGCTCAGCTAAATGAAAGAGCATTCCCCTCTGAATTTTTTTACTGATTCCCTGCCAGCAGTAGTATCCAGTGTAGGATACAAGAGCTTCCGGTCAGTTAAGACTTTTCCCTTTCTTGTGAAACATTATGTGTGTACAGCTTGGTGTTCAAATTAGTCTTTACTCCAGAGTTTCTGTATTGCACTCCTGAGAAACCTGTTATCACACATCCTAATCAACAAAGGGAGAGAAAGCCAAATTCAGGACTTTCAAGCTGCTCCAAGAGGAAGGAACTGTTCATAAAAAGTTATTCCACATTCAGTGAACTCAGAATTGCCATTTCTGTATGGAGAAATACATTCAACACATGCTACTCCAGGACTGAGTGCAGCAAAGCACCATAAAGATTCCCTTTAAGCACACACTTAAATTCTGTCTAGTTACTAAAGCAGTGCCAGTGCTTAGCAGCTTTCTTGGATCAAGGTCTCAGCACTGAAGTCTGAGGCTCTGAGTTTGCTCATTGACCTCTTCCTCTGCACCCTCCTCCTCCTTATCTGTGGAGCCAGCTGTGATCTGTCACCTCCTCTGACATGCAGGTAGGATTTCTCACCTCCACCACATCTTTCTGGAGCACATTTGTGCTGGTACATTTCTAGGCCAACCTATTGAATGATTTCCTGCATTATTACCTTTGACTTTTTTGTCTCTGTTATTTTCTACCTGCTTATGTCAAGGCATTTGCATTTCATGCAAATGGTGGGAAAAGTTTCTCATTTCCATTGAAAGAAAGTATTCTCCATTTCTGTAGCAGATTTTATAGCTGTTCATGAACTTCTTACTTGTTTCTGAAGAGTAACTCTCTTTTATCTTTTCCAATGAGACTACAAAACATCTTGTGCAGATAAATAAGAAATTTCTGAGTCACTGCCAGGAGGTTGCACCCGTTTCCAACTAGAGAGACTGCTTCAGGGTGGTAACTTTACGAGGCTGTAGGAACAGAACAGTTTCAGCCTTAACTGGTTGTTTGGCTGCCAGGACACTACAGGAGACTTTCACCCCCAGTGTCCTGTAACCTACTAAGAAGAGATGGCTGACTGAATCGTAGTCAGTGTTTAAGCATTTATTGATCCTTTTTCTTGGCCAATCATCTCAGAAGTTCAAACCTGTCAAAATGTTACTTTGTCAATGCGATGTTTCCACCTTAACTCACCTCATGTAATTTATAAGAGAATTGTTTTTACAATTATCATAAACATTTATTAGATGTTTTGATTTACGTAATTTATAAGAGAATTGGTTTTACAATTATAATATCATAAACATTTATTAGATGTTTTGATTTATTAATTTTAACGGGGGTTAAATTTTATGTGGGAAGAGTTTTAAAAAGTGACATCCATGATATGCCAAACAATCTTCTTCTAGGTTGAAAGTCATCATTACTTTTTTTTTCTTTTGAATTATGAGCATCCTAGCCTTCTAAACCATAAAGAATATTGACAGTCTTTTAATTGTTCACTGTTCATGTTTTCCTGCTTTTGAATTTCTTTTATGTTAGGCACTGAAAACAGACTTCTTGGTTTCACTTATGATTCCCAGCCCTGATTCTTCCAACATTTTATGCATTGTGAGTTGCTCCTGTCAGTTTCTGTTCATACACTGCTGTTTTGTGGAATCAGGTCCTCAGGTTAGCTTACTGAATCTCACGCAGTAGGCAGAGCTCCAGAGTTGGGTCTGAGGAGGTATCACGAGTCAACATGAGGTTACTCAAGAAAAAAAAAAAATACCTTTTTTCTTTCAATTGACATTTAAGCAAATATGTACAGAAATCTGATAAAAGTTGGGGCAAAGAAGAATTCACAATATGTACGACGCACGTAGGGTTTGGATACATTGATGATTGCACAGGTCAGTGCAAATCCCTACGAACTTGCTGCGATCCAAGTCAAGGTCAACACACTGGGTCGAGTGTGCTGGTTTATTATTTCAGAAGAAAATAGACTTCAAACATCAAGACATGGATTGTTTTGGAGTGGTATCTGTTTTGGGAATTGCAGCTGCAACCTTTGGGCCAGATCCTCAGCTGCTCTGCACGTGAGACTCCATTGACTGCAGGATTGATCCTTATATGTCCTGTGATTACAAATTATGTTGTCAAGCCCTATTAACTGAACTAAATCCATGCCAACTCCTTTCTGTTTCTTAGTAACCAATAGTCATTGTAAGAAGGTTTCCACATGTGTGATGGCAAAGGCAAAGGCTGTTCCCAAGTGTTTCTCGTGTAAGATACTTGAATGCTGTTTGCAGTGTCAGTGGGTGTTGGTGATATCCTTTGGTGTTGGTTCTTTGTCTTCTTTTGGTTGGATTAGATGGGGAGATTGGTATGAAAAGCCATGGATAAACTTCAAGTCCTTTTACTATTTAGCTTGGTTTGTCAAAGATATCAAGTACAGATCCTTTCCTTTTAGAGAACCTATCTGCATGAAAGAAAAACAAGTTTTCATTAACAGAGTAAAAAGAACCAGGCCTGTTTCTTTATTTCCAACCTTAATGTCACAGGTGAGGTGCTGCCACCCTGGTTCGGAATGATAGTGGAACATTCAAAGTGCATCATAGGAGGTCCAGCGGTATCAGATCTTGCCACCTGCAATCCAGGGTGATCCAGCTGGAAATGGATCCCATTTCTCTTTCCGGGAGGAGGTCAAAAGCCTTTATTTGTGATGCTAAACATCACTTACACTTGTGTGCAGCTGGCTGTCTTCAGTAGGCCAACTGAATGCACTATTTAGACTGAGGTTTACTTTTGACTGGCAGCATGCCCTGTACCTATTTCTACAAAATAATTTTTCAAAAACAAATACAGACTTGTTCTGAAGTCCATCTCTGTCTCCCTGCCACTGTACAGGGGACCTAGAAATGAAGGACAACTCTTTGGCTCATACCTGTTGGGTAGCTGATTTATCACTGACGACTTCTGTCCAGACTCCAAGGCTGTGCCTGTAATGCTCAGAGACCTGCACCGAGAATGAGACCTGCATCTGTCTCTCTCGATTTTTCTCAACTATATCAAGATTTTCATTGCTGTCTTTTGTTTGTGATCCAAAAGAAGGACCACAGATATTTGGATATTTTTTATTGACAGAACATAATAAGGTGAGATATGTCAGTTGTTGTAACTATCATTTTGGGAAATGAAGAGTGCGTCTTTGCCAGCAATTTTTAATGTTATGAAAAAGCAGGCTTTTTATTGTGTATGCTACTTGTCCAGCACATATTTAAAAGAAAGAAGGGGTATTTGAACAGTAGTGCTGTAGTGCTGGCTAGGAGCGTCTTTAGCCAACGCAAGAAACTTTTTTTTGTCGATAGGAGTGTACATCTTAAATGATGAGAAAACAGAGCCCAAGGGACAGCTTTGGGGTGTCTTATAAGGGTTTAAGCAGAACATGTAAGTGAGAAATCCCAGCAACCAACTTCACAGCAATAGTAGGAGGCTTTGAAATCTATCCATGGCTCTCCAGTGAAATGATTTTCTTCCAAATGAGCTATCCCATGGCTGGAAGCGGACAGGTAATGATGGAGGAATCACTCTCAAGCTAGTAGCAAGTGAGAATCATCACAACTATTCAGAAAATGGATGCATAGTTAACCACTGGACATATTTCCACTCCTCTGCAACAACTAGCACTCAGCAAAAGGTGCAAGGTGGCAAGAATCATGGAAACCGAGATGCCCAGCTGGTACCTATCCCTAAAATATTACGGCACCTGTGCTGGCCATGACCAGCAGGTAGGCAGGACAGTCTGATTTCGTGGGCTTCTACCCTGAGATCTTTGTTCAAAGCACTTTTGGGAAGTTTGATAGTGGGATGAGCACTGTTGACTTTCTCACACCTGATTTTCATGTGTGTACAGGGTTAAGATATGAAGGTATAATGCCCAGAGATCAGTGCTTTCAGCCATGGGATAATTTTTCCCTTTACCTCGGAGTCCGTTTTTCACTGCAGTGTGAATCAGGAGAACAGTTCTGTAGTCGATCAGTGACATTCTGAAGTTGACACTCAACTTTCTGTTCTTTCTGGAAATAATAACAATGACTAACAATGGATTTTCCTGTGTGAGCTGCTTTCCTCTTGCAAATCTCTCCAGCATTTAAATGAAGATACAGTAGCCACTGTTCACATATTAATCTCCTTGATGACAAAGCCACCTCTTTGTTCTGGTGTCTCTCCTAATATGAGTTACACCATATAATTTGTATCTAGGATTTTCTTCAATCACGGTCTTACATTCCTGAGACACTGATGTAATGCAGATTATCCAGAAAGATTGGTGCATGCCAAAGTAACTGTTCCCAAGGTGGAGTATACTGCATACAGCACTATAAATTATCGAATAATGAAGTTCTTCTGTTTTACTTTCAAAGCTTCATCTTAACAGGCTGATTTATGGGTGAAATTACTAGAAATACTGCCTGATAGTTGCCAAATCTCATCAGTCTTTAACCAGTTCCTCATTTAAAGCAGAACTTTAAGCCCAACCTTGCAAACCTGTGCATTGCAGACAATTATCCTAAGACCTAACAGATCTTTGAGAGTCCTTGACTCAGGGCCAACTCTGAGACTTTTTTTGGTCTTACTAGCTGACACTCGATAATCTTTCTGGCAATCTGCAGTTACAGTTTGCTTAATAAAATGTGCCTGGAAAACAATGGAGGTGTTTTCTGGTGCAGTTATCTCAAAGATCAGAAATATTCTGTGACCAGAAGCCTCACATTAGCTCTAAGGACCAGACTGGAGTGGTGGTAGCGATCTGAGTTTGTATCTGTGGCAAATTTGCATGGATGTTATATAGTATGTTTGCATTAAGATTTGACTACTAACTCACACAATATTGCTGGAAATAATGAGTGAGAGTGTCAAAACACTCCTGGTGGGACATGCCCAAGGATTCTGCTTCATCTCTGAAAGGACAGGTCAGATACATACAACTGCAAAGCAAAGAGGGAAGGCCAGCAGTCAGGTTTCTGCCACGTGATCTCAGCGAGTCAGCACAGTATGTTTCTTCTTACGCAGGCGCTGCGAATACAGCCCCCTCAAAACCATCGATCAGGATTAGAAATTGCATGAAGAGAAAAATCTGGTGTAAAACCAAACTAAACAGTCACCAGAACTAATACGCTATTAATAGCTTACACTCCACTATTTACCATTGTAAAAAGTAACATGAAAGTCAACTTTTGCACTTGGTGTTTCTCTCATGGCACAGTGATGAAATGAACGCGTGTTCATGGCACTAGCTGAACCTTGAGCGTGGCTCCACTGTGCACCCACTTCTAAAGCAGTGTGACATGCTCCTGGCTGCTGCTGGGTCAGGGGACAGATCCAAAGTTCACTGAAGTTAGTGACTGGCTTTGCACTAAATTCAGAGTAACTTTGTGTCCAGCCCCTGCGTGATTTAGCTCTGGGCATTTGTATCTGGCATGTGACTTAAAAAATAAGTGAGTAAATAGTCCCCTAGTAGGTACATTAAATTACCTGAAACTTGGGCATGTTCCAAACTGGCTTCCTAGCAGGAGTGTTCAGGTGTGTCATAGGGTCTACTTCCCCGTGATGGACTGTCATGAATCACACCTCTGCTGTGTGCTCGTGTCTGGTGGTAATTGTCGATGGGGTTTATATGCAGATGCATGGGCTGCGGTGAGGGTGTTTGATTTCTGAAACACTCGGTTTTGACTGTAATTTGGTATCTCAGCTGATGAAAAACCAACTCCTGGCAGTGTCTAGAATAAAATCCAACAGCTGTTTGCTTTGGTTTCATAACAGATTTCAGTATTGCCTTAAAAGAAGTGACCCTGGAAGGAATGATTTTTTCCCAGTGAATCCCACTCTGTAATAGCAGATGGGAGAGCCACTGCTCTGGCTTCTGTGTACAGACATGGTTTGCAGCTCTGCTGTCCCTCTTTCTGTTGTACATGCAAGGGATTGCTGACATATTCTGAGATATTCTGAGTAAGGGAGAAGTAAGGAGGAACAAGTGCAAAAAGAACTGAGCTGAAGGGTCAAACGGAAAGTGTCATTCAGATACAAAGATCAGGGA